CTCTTTATGTTGTCATTGAACCTGCACTAAACCTATATTTTGTCCTTTTAAATGTTTATATAAGTGTTTACTTCTGGAATGTTATCTGATGCATTTTGTGAACAATGATATAATAATGACTTGGGTGAATACCGTGCAAGTTTGAAATATATTTGTCTTTGTTCTCATTGTTTAATATCATGTCTGTTTATTTACTGATTTATGTATTAATTTATTTTTAGCGGCCCGCTAAGGTGGATGCTCTACGTCGGGTTTTTCTTGCAAGAAGGAGTTCATGCATCAGACGGCGTGCACGTGCCATTACGTCTCCGTTCACCCCAATAGTGCGAAGAATCCGTAAGAAAAAGCCCGACTCACCTGTCATTGTTCAAGAGGCCTCCCCTATCATTCAAGAGGCCCCTATCATCCCTCAAGAGTCCCATCCCACCGTTCAAGAGGCCACTGTCATCGTTTAAGAGGTCCCTTCCAACATTCTAGAGCCCGATTCACACGGCGTAATATATCGAATTATTGAGAAGCCCCCTCACGTGCTGGACATGATGGATGACTGTTGACTTTCGTATAAATTACCGGCCAGTACCATTCCGGCAGATGAAGTGAAGAGGAAACAACTACCGGAAACAATTCTGGATAATACCCTTTGGGCTAAGACCGCAGTTGATTTTTATCTACATGAGCGGAGCTAAGGGTGTTACGCTGAAGACAACGGTCTTGGTGGGGTGTATTATTAGGGGTTGAAGACAACGGTTATTTTGATGGGGGGTAAGTCTTATATTTCTTATATTTCAGTTTGATTAATTTTTTTTAAAATTTATGTAATTCACTAATATATGTCTTTTTTTGTAAAACAACATATTGATGCATGGGTGACACGTCTTCTAATTGTAAGGAAATTGAAGAAAATATTAAAAAAATGCGATATACAATTATGCCGACGTCTTTTCACGTAGTTCACTTGAAGAATCAACGACATGAATCATATGTGTTGGCTAATGGACAAGCTAAACTTTATCCTGCATGGTGGGAGGTCGATAAGGTTAGTATATTTGTTTAAATATTTTAAAGGTGTTCATAAATAAGTGCGCAATTTGAATTATTACATTTCGATGCAGGTGTTTATCCATGTTTTGGACCGTACTCATTGGCTTCTCGTCGAGCTTCAGCTCCCATCCCTAAAGACAATAGTATATGACAGCATGATAAATTACATATCATTGTCTGATTTGAGAGATATGATTAAGGGATAGAGCTCTCATTTGGTTAAATTCTTGGATGCAATTGATTATTGGACTAAGTCTGAAAACAAGAAGCCAAAGAAGTTCAATGTTACAGTTATCAGAGACGAGATCGCGCCACAACAAACGAAAGAAGCCAGGGGGATTGTGGTCCTCTCATATGCATGTGCTTGGAGCGTTTGACGACATGAAGTACATATTTTCTACCTTCCACCAATAGAGATAGAGGTGCAGTAGGCTTGTGGTTTCGGCATTTTATGGCTAAAGCGATATATGTGAGACACTGCCTACCTGCATCCGCGTTATGAAAGTGTCCATAAACAATTTGTAAGTCAAATGCAAGTGTTGTTAAACATATTTACTCTTTTTGGTTTGAAAATGTTTGGTTAAGTAGCTAGAATTCAATAATTTGCTATTTGTAGGTTTTAGATGTGTATAAAGTGTTGTTGATTCAATGTTTGGTTTCTGTAGGTTAATCCTGAAGTGAGCTGCGTGAAATGGATGTATGAGTGCAAAAGTTGATTTCGTTATTATTTTTTGATTGTTTAATTGATTTGTAAAAGATGATTTGTAAATGTTGATTTGTTTAATTGATGTGTACATAATATTTGTGCTTGTTTAATTGACTGAAATGTAATAGTTGATTTGTTGATTTCAATCTGCATTATGTTGAATGCAAAACAGACTATCGCAACGAGAAAATCGCAATGCGAAATGAAAATCGCAACGAGTGAATCGCAATGCGAAAATGAAAATCGCAACGCAAAACTAATTTCGCGTTGCGATTTTCATTTTCTCATTGCGATTCACTCGTTGCGATTTTCATTTCGCATTGCGATTTTCATTTCGCATTGCGATTCTCTCGTTGTGATAGATGGAGATGGAATGAGTTGCGATTTAGGGACTTAGGTTATGAGTTGATGACGCTGCGTAGTTATATACCCAAAACATTTGTGTTGCAAAATTAAAACCTATTGCGAATTCAGAAATCGAGTTGCGAATTTGAAATTCAGTATTGCGATAGTCAAAATCTCGTTGCGATTTACAGATTCGCATTGTGATTTACGTATTCGCATTGCGATTTATGTATTTGCATTGCGATTTACGTATTCTCGTTGCAATTTACAGATACGCGTTGCGATTTACGTATTCTCGTTGCGATTTACGGATACGCGTTGCGATTTTACGTATTGTTGTTGCGATTTACGGATACGCGTTGCGATTTTACGGATACTCGTTGCGATAGTCAGAATCGCGTTGCGATTTATATGTTCGCGTTGCGATTCTGAAAAATCGCAATGCGAATTTGTACTATCGCATTGTGATTCTTCATAATCGCGTTGCGATTCTGAGAATTGATTTGCGATTCTAGAGATCGCGTTGCGATTTTTATTTCGCATTGCGATTTTGTTGGTCATTTTGACAAATCCAAAAAAGTTAGTTAAAATCGTATATTATAAGGCATTTTTAGTCACTGAGGCGATTTTCTCTTAAATAATTTCTTCAAATAATTTCTTCAAATAATTTCTTCAAGCTCTTCAATTACCTTCTTTCAAGCAACAACATTTCTTGGAATTATTCTTTGTGGTACTGACCAGGGCATTTGCTATTCAGGGTACTGTTCTGGAGGCTGTGCGGCAATTGCAGATTCTGGAACGTCTTTGATTGCAGGTCCAACGGTAAGCCATAATAATGATGTCTCAATGTGTATGTCAGAAAATTTGGTAGTATTGCTTTTAATAATTGATAATTAGTCACTTAGGGAAGCTTCTTAATGCTGATAGGGCCATGCTATTCTGTCTTACTTGTTAACCTAGTTATTGATGTGATTCTCGGCTGTCTGTTTGTCTTGGTGCAGACTGTAATAGCCATGATAAACCATGAAATTGGTGCAACTGGAGTGGTTAGTCAGGAGTGCAAGGCTGTGGTTCAACAATATGGGCAAACCATTGTCGATTTACTTTTAGCTAAGGTGACTTATACTTTTACTCTGAATTTAAATTATCACATAAAGTTACTATTAACTTGTATCCGATTATTAAAACTTCAGCTGCGTGATCGGTTTTCGGGCTCTATACTCCATTCATAATGACTGGTTTTCCCCTACAGGAACAACCAAAGAGAATCTGCTCACAAATTGGATTGTGCACTTTTGATGGTGCTCGTGGTGTAAGGTCAGGCCCCGATGTCTTTATGTGTTTGTGGTCACTTGAATACGATTTTGCTACTTTGTTTGAAGCGGATAACTAATGGTCCTCAAATGTATTTATATAGCATGGGCATTGAGAGTGTGGTGGAAGAGAGCAACAACAAATCATCTGGAATTCAAGACAGTGCCATGTGCCCTGCTTGTGAGATGACAGTTGTTTGGATGCAGAACCAATTAAGGCAGAATCAGACTCAAGACATCATACTAAACTACGTCAATCAGGTGACATGTGACGCAATACTCGACGCTTGTTCAATAATTCACAATTTCAGTTCTTCCAATCCTCTGATTCTTACTGTTTGATACTTGGTCAGCTATGTGACCGGATGCCGAGTCCAATGGGAGAATCTGCTGTCGACTGCAAGAGTTTTTCGTCCATGCCCAAAGTTTCCTTCACTATCGGTGACAAAGTTTTCGACCTTGCCCCGGAAGAGGTAAACAAAATCCATCCTTATTTTGTCAGTATTATGTTAATATCTGCATACCAGGTTCTGCGGTTCAGATTCACATTCAGATTGGAGTATTATCACTCTTTAGCTTTCAACTTTTGAGATGGTTCTTATATATGTGGCTTAAATGTTCATTTCATGCTCGTGAAATTATTCCGTTATCAAATATGTTAAGCCTATATGAATGGTTGAGAACTTGTCCTACTGATGTTAATTATGTCTTGGGTGGTATAATCAGTATATTCTCAAGGTCGGTGAAGGTCCGCAAGCTCAGTGCATCAGTGGCTTTACTGCTTTGGACGTTCCTCCGCCTCGTGGGCCTCTCTGGTACGTCAATTACCGTCAATGTATTAAATAATAACCTTATATATCAATTCATTATAACCATTTTCATATTATTTTGGGTTCTGTGTTTGATGCAGGATTTTGGAAGATGTTTTCATGGGCCCCTACCACACCGTCTTCGATTTTGGTAAACTAAGAGTCGGCTTCGCGGAGGCGGCATAAAAATATCTATGACCATGGTTAGGGGACCCTACATCCATGTTTGTGTTATTATAACTATAAAGATGGTTGCAAACATTATGCAATTGTCTCGGCCTAAATCACGTAGAATGGTGCCTGTAAATATTTATGTTCAGTTGCTCCGTGAGTTTGAACATGGTTGAAAGCTGCTTTGTTTTACTAATGGTTTGGTTACTTATTAGTCAGTTTACATATCCATTTCTTCTCGCATGATGGGCATCTCTACTCGTTCCCAGTATTAACCTTCCTTGTCCCGGTTGTGGGATGGATGAATATAGACTGTAAACATTGATTATAATCGAAAATTTTATTAAAAAATAATTTTTAAAATAACCTGTGTAAGATTTACTCAAAACTAATTTTTAAAAGTAGCCCGTCTAATATTTTAGATTAGAACTGAAATTATCATATTTTTCTTATTATAATTTATGTGAATTGTATAATTATTTGATTATAACTTAAAAGATTATCGTTGATATGTTTTCTTATTGTAATTGAGATTATTACTATTTGTTTAATTTTTAGAGTAGATACCTAATAGTTTAGGTTTATCCTTTTTCGGCACCTCAAGTAAAAAACACATTCATTCAACATTTTAACTCTTACTTAAATCAAACACATAAAACCCAAAATACAGAAGGAAGCTAATTTTTCTAACCTTTTCTTTGGATCTATTTTCCTGTCCACACTTCAACATCTCACAAATCCACTGCACAGTAACTGGATTAAAGACGATAACGATACAAGAAAAACATTTTCGCCATAGGATCTCAATTCCTTTCTAAGTATTCTTCTTACTCCCTGAATGTGACACATTCTGGTCCAATGATTCCAACTGGTTCCGAAGGTTTTGATTCTCCTCGAGCAACCGATCGTACTCGAGAAGAAAACCTTCGGACTGTTTCCTTAAAGCAACTGCATTGGCTTCTGCAGCATCCATCTCTTTGGTCTTGCTCTCAATATCAGACTCCACATGCTTTAGTTTTGACTTGAGAGTGGCTACTTCTCCCTCCAAGGCCTTAGCTCTGTCGGGGACATTAGGTTCTCCTTCCTCGAAAGCCAGACCCTGTTTCTTGATAGCATCCATGCTCTTCCTTCGAATCCGAAGTTCTCTGATATAGTGATGCAATCTGTCTATCATCAGTCCTAGGAACAGTACTCCCCCTGGCAATGAAATTAATCAATGTTTAACAGTGCAAGCAGAATTAAGCAGCAAGCACTTAAAAATTATAATCAGGAGTTTGAGAAATTAATATAACAAGTTAAGAACCATAAAAATCAAGAGACAAAATCAATTGGTGCCGTGCTCGAATGCATCACAACCTGCCGATCGGCAGCAAGTTAATGTTGGCATCATTTTAGGGTCCTATACGTTAATATGCTATTGCTAGCTAAGAACAGAAACACATTGTCCTGATGAACCAAGATAAAACAATGAATCTATTCCGGCAATTGATAAGGTGTCTAGTTTTATAATCTTAGCTAAATCCTGCTTCATTGCATTCTCAAGGTTCAGTCAATCGGGCCAACACGGGAAACAAAACGAAGAAGCAATGGCCGCCACAAAGGTCAAGTTACTAAAGGTAGGAAGTCTCTCTTTAATTAGAAGATTAACATCATTCAATTGATCTTACTATTGATAATAATAAATCAGGAAATTTTATATTTTAGTTTCGATAAATATATGAGGAGATTAGAATATTTTCAGATGTTTTTAAATCGAAGAACAGAAAAAAAGAAGAGGAATAGCTATTAACAAACTCAGTAAATAAGATGAAAACTTTTATTAAAGATAATGATTTTTGTTAAAAAATTATTTTGGTGATCCAAATAAAAAGTCACTAAAAATTCAGTAATATTATTAGATTATTTTACCAGAGTTTCTAAATGGTTTTAGAACCTGACGTAGTATGATATAACAAACTCAGTTCCAGCACAGTAGTGAAAGGATCGGGCAGATAAAGAGCGATTAGATTTGAAAAGAACCGAAGGAGGAAGTGATTTTACCCATGAGAGTAGCTTCGAGGAGGTGTTTGGCCATGAGGATCTGGTCCGTCATATTAGCCGCACCATCATCGATCCAACGCTTCCGGATCTTCATCACGCTGTACACGCTCGACATCATCACCATGAAAACCGTTCCCGCCACCGTCTTTACCACCACCGGTCCTCGTCCCCGCTTGACCCGATCCAAAATCATTAGCGTGAGCTTCCTAAACGGTGTCTTGAATGATAATACCATGATCACCGCCATCTCTGAGAATATCACCGCGAACAGTAACTGATTCATCTTTAACAAATTTCCTTTATTTTGAAGAACACAGAAAAAAGGGTCGAAATTAAAGAGAAAAAAGTTGATTTTCTTTCCTTCTTATTTAAGCGTGAAAGTTGATAATTTGAATCTGTAATGAAGGAAGATGTGTGAGGTTGAGAGCTAGGAAAAATAAAAGAGACGAAACGGAGTTGAATCCGTGTTAGTAACGTTGAACTGTTTATCTTTAAAGTATTTGGGTTATTTTTCTAAAAGGTCTCTTAGTTTTTAATTACTTTCATTTTAGGCTTAGAAATTGGAGTCCTTTAACTACCTTATTAATTAAAAGGCTGAAAGTGAGATTTTACCTTATTTTTTAATAAGAAAAATTAAACATAAAGGTAACTTTAATAAATATAAGTCTTGAATTCTAAGTAATCTCATTCATCTACCTCAAACCCTATTTGTAAGTTTTTATTTTTTATTTTTAAACCCTAGTTGTAAGTTTGATTATGTGCACATTTACGTATGATGTTTTGATTCGATTTAATTTTTTTAAATTATTAAATTCATATTTAATATAGTATTATTTTATCTTTACAGTTTACACTTATATATATATATATATATATTAATATAAAAATAAATCAATATAATTTTTTTTCAAATGTGTACCATTGAAACTAAATTAGAATTTTATATATTCAATTATATAAAATCAACTTAATCTAAACATGATAGGTAGTATTAAACACTAACTGATATTTAGGTCTAATTATGCAGTTTGTCCTTATACTATTTCATGTTTTTGAAATTTCATCATTCTACTTTTAGTTCCAAGAATTTAGTCCACCTATTTGTCTAATTTAAATATTAAAATCCAATCGACAATATTGTTAATCGATTTTTTTAATTTAAATATGTATTGCCACATATTCAAATTTAACGCAAAATCCACAAACAATGCTATCAGTTAGGCTAAATTTTTAAAATTATATAAGTCGAGGAACTAAATTCTTTAAACTAAGAAAATCAAGAACTAAATTTTAAAAGACTGGAAAATACGAGGATTAGAAATATAATTAAACATTGATACTAATGCCTAGAAGAAGGTGGAAGATGGACGCCCGTACTTGAATATAGAAATGTCGGCAAACCTTTGCCACCTCTACGTCGTGCTCAACTATTTGTTATTTAACCTTTGGGTCTCCTCTAAACCTTATATAGTCACTTAAGTTCCTTGATTAAACATATTATTATTATGTTTTTGGATAGAAGGGGCTGCAACGTGGTTTGCCATTAACAATGACTACATGCACACATGCATGAAAGAGCTTGCATAACTTGTCCCGTATTTTTAGATTTCGATTTTGATTAAATCTATTCGACTAACGGGTGTTAACAGACTTAACTGTACCAGCCTAACCGTAATCGACCCACTTGCCATATTCTAAGTTTCTAACCAACCAGATTACCAACTCGACCATACGACCGAAACCAACATGATCAAAGAGGTTGATTATGTCGATTTGCACCGACTTTTGCTCACCCCTAACCACCACTCCTTGTTCATGAAAATGGCTGGACAACATTTTTCATTTATCAAATATATTAATTAAAACCATATAAGAACAATTGGAAATCAAAGTTCGCTTCAGACATTCGATTTGCAGAAAATAAAGTTCCAAGTTCAGACAGTTAAAGAACAGTCATCGTCGAGGAATTTACACCATTTCTTTTAGCTATTTACATAATATTGCATCATGCTCAAAGCAAAGGGGAACCAAATGTGTTTTCTCCACTGTAAGTCATATAAAGAAACCCATCTTCGTCCTTGTTTTCCTCGTAGATTGCAGACATCAAAGCGGCTGCAACAAAAATAAAGAAAATAAATAAGCCTCGCAAGTATCATGGAAAAGTGCTGATTTAAGTCATAATACTCAAAGCTATAACGTGTTATTAACTCACCAGTAGGTGGGAGAGTGTTCTTCACAAAGACGAATATAGCTTTCTCAGCACTAAGCTTAATCCGTTTACGGACAACATAAACAAATTGCCCCACAGTTAAATCAGCAGGGACGAGATACCTGAATCCATAATCAGAGAAGAATATTACAAAAAAGAACACTAACTGGAATTCATGTAGTATTATTATCTTGTTCTCTTCTTAAGAATTCATTAACATTGATAACCCAAGCAGACAACTGACACAAGACATCATTCGCTAGAAAGTGCATTTGGCAAGTAACAAATTACATAACCAGAATATTGATCGATCTTCTTCCAATGCATCGTAGCCAAAGAATTCACAAGCATGCCAACAAGTAAATTGAATAACGTATGGCGAAGAGCGGTTTGAGGTCATATTACAAGAGAAATTTTAATATAAATGGAAAATGCTACTAACTTCTTTTTATCAATATCAGGAATGTCACTTCGTTCAGCCTTCTCTACGATAACCTGCACAATTGTTCGTTAGCATTTAAGAATATTGAGATATTGATACCAGGGTTTCAAATAGCGGCCGAATAGCGGTGTCACGGCCGTTATATCGCGGTAGCGGCGGTGTCCGAAACGGCTATCGCGAAAAATAACGGTGTGAAGCGGGATCACACCAATAGCAGTGGATTGCGGCCGCAATTTAACGGATTCGGCCAATCGCGGCAATAGCGGATCACTATTCAACTATTATTCCGTTATTTTAATTTAAAAAAATCAGCTCCTTCGAAAAAAATTCACGATCGTGATATCCACAATATCATCCGTTATATCCGCAACCGTGATAAACGCGAGGCGACCGAAAACGTGACCGCAAACGCTATTTAAAACCCTGATTGATACACTAAAAAGATTTTAGCAAACAGGGAAGATGATAACTTAATTATTCTTACAGGAATTCTGTCCGGGTACTTTTCCCTGATGCGACTGGCTTCAGCCTGCCTCCTTTCTGAGAATTAGAAATTTCCAAAATAGGACAATGAGTATTAACAAAATTTTATTCGATTAACTGGATCAAAGCATAGGAGCAGCAGGACAACAACAAAGACAATGAAGATGCAACAACTATACTCGAGAGAGGTGAGACAAATTACATCTATTCATGCATATCATGAAAGCTGGGGAAATAATGAATGGAGAACAAAGAAAATGATATCCTCTGCAAAGCAACAGTTTCTGCATAAGTGCATATATATTGAAGTTACAAGTATGTTTACAGGTACAATTATAATTGAAAGTACAAATAATATACATCCGAATAACTATCACAAGAATTAACCATTATAATGCACGATCGGACTGAGAACGAATAATATCCAGACCACCTAAACAAGCCAACTTATAGGATCATCAATATACAGAAACATAAAGAACATCTCATGAACTCAATCAAGAAAGATTCATCCAGTTTGAAAACAATCCAATCAAACTACCCTAAACTTATCCAATGTTTCATGAAAGATTACTAATTTTCTGAATTTTCCATAAAATATTCCACATAAATGTAGCAGATTCACAACAAGAATTAATAATTAATAATTTATTTTTAAAAAAGAATCAATTTTCAAACAAACAAGAAAAAACAAAGAATACCCAAATCAAATATAAAAGCAATTCAGTCGAGCATATTTATAAACTGGCGAAAACATATATATAAAAACTAACCCAAAGGATGTTCAAGCTTGAAGGAACTTTTCGACATTATTACAAAATCCAACACCAGATTAAATCACCTGCAAATTTAAAACAACGAAACATCACCAAGAAACTCAACCATTTTTCTTTCTTCTAAGAACAAAAGGCTATAAAATATAAAAAAGGGTTCGTAGAAAATAACTTTCAGAAAACATACCCAACACGGAACAACAAGGGAAGAGCTTTACGAAATTAGGGTGTCGATACAAAAAAAAGAACCTAATTGGTTGATTGATCGCTGGTGAGGAAAAATGATCGGTTGCAAGCAAAGGAATTTATAAGAAAGAGGTTTACTTGAATTCGAGGCGAAATGCGGAACAGAAATGATTTAAGGTGCGTTTAGCATTATATTCGCATTATATTCGGGAATATAATATTACCTAACATATTATTAATAATATTGTATTATTATTTTTGATTTGTTTAATAAGAATATAAGATTATAATGTTTGGTTAAAAAAATAAAAGATTATTAGAATGTATATTTTATCAAATTATATTTATTATATATTTATTTTTTAAACAAGTTGAATTCTAATATTCAAAAAAAATATTTGTATAAAAGATTATAGAAAATATATAATTTTATTATTTTTAATTTATATATTTTTTTAAAAAATTTAAATTCATAAAATTAATATATTTTTTTACAAAATTTAAAAGATAAATTAGTTTAATAAAATAGTTTAATTTTATTTTAACCTCCGAACTTTATATAAAATTCTAATTATAGATTTTTTTTATAAATCTAAAATAATTTAAGAATAAATTTGTAATTTACCATTCATAATTTTTTTTATTTAACAGTTAGTTGAAGGATATTTTTGAAAAAAAAAATATTTTAAGGGTATTTTAATCCAAAGTCATGGGAAAAGAATAATACTTAATGGATTGAGGGAAATGATATTCCCGATAATAAACCCCCAAAATACTACTGTTAGGAATGACTTATTACCCCATAAAATATTACTGTTAGAAATGACTTATTACCCCTTACTAAGAATCTTTACAATCCAAACATAGATATCATGTTCTGGAAAAAAATTTCTCCTAATAATCTCACAATCCTCCATTCAAACGCACCTCATTCATTAGTACATTTTCCCCTATTTGATGCCCTTGACCTGCGTACAAGGAATCTAATCTTGGGCTAAAGGATTAAATATGCTAAAGGCCTTTATATATTTTTATTTAAAAATATTAATTTCTTCCCTAACTTCTATTTAAAAAAATCATATAAATATATATCAATTTGATTCTTAAAAAGTTATAAAAAGACTGTTAAAAATGATATTTCTCAAATAGTTATTATTTCTTTTTAAATATTAAGAGATAAATCGATAGAATTGTGAACGTAGAGATTACATTATTATATTTTATTCTTATCATTATCAAGTCAACAATTCATGATAATATAACAACATCATGTAAATACAATTATTAGAATTTAAATTTTTTTAAAAAATAGTATTATATTATATCTCTAAATTTATTTAATGGTTTGATATTTTTAAATACAAAATAATATATAACTTATTTTATAAAATATAATATAGATAGTAAATTTTAAGTCTTAAAATAGTTCAAAAATCCTTAATATAAACATTTAAGAAACCAAGTCATTTTAGGTCCTTTCATTGTGGTTTTTTCTGCCCAATAGGACAACTAGGAAGTAAATTTTGGGATATACGGCTATTAGAAATTTATTTTGGGATCTACGACAATTTTTATCGTAAATGGAGAATTCATCACCTCGAGGTGACGAGTTTCGAATGATATTGTTATTGTATTTCGTTTTATTATTTAATTAATTTCTACGAAACTCATCTTCTCGAGATGACGACTTCAATTAGAATAATATTATTTTTTATAGTTATTTACTTTAAATAGAAAATTGAAAAAAAAGATTAAACTCGTCACCTCAAGGTGACGAGTTACTTTAAAATAATATTCAATTGTTGTTTTTATCTTCTTAATGTGCTAAGTTCCAACGGTCATACTAATATATGACTGAAAAGTTAAGCATATTGTAATAAATTTTGTTTAAAAGAACAACGAACTATAAACATTAACTTTAACCATTAAAGATTACATTATGGAGAGAAGAAAAAACTAACCGGGAACATTACATTAAGAAGAAAAAAGACAAAAAACTTAATACATTATGGTAAGGACGTAAATAGAACTAACCTTACGTACACCTTAAACAGTAAATAAAATCATAAACATATCAATATTTGTTATGAAGTTTTAATCTTCGTAATCAGTAGACATGTAAGAAGTAATATTAAGTTTTTCAATTCTCCATGTTTTTTGTTGTTGTCATTCATGTACAAATTGGAACCATGCTTCTGGGTCTCCATCATCTATGTTTGTTTCTTCGTCATTTGTCTGAGTTGGTGGGAAATTTGAGCTGGAATCAACATCCTTAACCATACGAGCAAGGTCGAGATCATCGAACTCTACAAATAAATTGACATTAGTCAAAGAATGATAGAAGTATGTCTCAATCATACCAGTAAGGTCAATCTCATCGCTTAGATGAAACCTCCTGCATGATAGTGACAATTTATAATATAATGAAGATATTCTTCTACTGCTTCTAAGTTAAACCCTTGTTTTTTATTGAACTTCAACTCGTCTAGTTGAATATTTTTTTCGAAACACATGGTTAAAGATTTGCAATCATAAAAAATAGTTGCACGAATAATTGTCATGTTCACAACATTTTTCAAGCTTGGGAAGTGAAAGACTGAAATTGTTTTAGATTTTTTTGCTTTAAACGAGTAATTTAGCTTTCACCTCACACATATTAATAGGTTTATGAAAAGTTTGTGAACTGAAAATTTTCTACCATGGTGCATTATTTTCTATCATTGAAATTTTGTTGATATTGATTAATTGAGAACAAAAAAGTATCTACTATGGTGCATTATTTCTGTCACTGAATTGAATGGTTATTGATGATAGCTCGTTTTTCTTTTAAATTGGCTTACTTCATGTGAATCTTCACAAAACTTCTACTTTGTATGGAAGCATTGAACAACCAAAAACTTTTCTCAAGCTACGGCTAACAAATTTTTCACAGTGGTCCACTCAAATGGCCAAGTTATCCAAAATGATGATGGTGTTGTGTTTATGTAGGCCGTATACATGATGTTCCCTGTAGATGTATCACATTACCAAATGAAGCAGAAAATTTAAAGAAAACTTAGATCTTATGTTTCATGTTTGAGTTATTGGCACATAATTTCAGAGACTCTGCTCAAATATGAATCAATCCAGGTTGATGATGATCATGTAGCTATTATGGTTGGTATGCATCAATCTTGAAATAATCAAATGATTGAGATATACACTGAAACTACATATATTCCTACTTCTTCAATATTTGCACATGTGACCGAAGAAGCAGAACCATCAAAAGATCAAGATAACCATGTTGGGAGATTCGGTGTAAGCCTCGCTGGTTTCAATGAGGAAGATGAAACTTTTGTTCCACTGATGCTAGACAATGACACACTAATAGTTGAAGATTCTGATATCTTCGAGGTTGCTTTAGAGGAACAAGATTTTGATATAAAGGTTGTGTCTGGGATGTAGAAATTTCACGTGGGCATGCACTATATAATGCTTCTCGAGGGTGGGCACATTCAGTAACACCCAATCAACCACAAATACCATAACCCCAAATACCTCACTATCACGAGGTTTAAGAATAATAAGATCAAGAAATAGATTATCAACATGGGTAACTTATTCTTTATTTTCCTTTATTTATGTTCTTCATTTATTATTGTACTTAAATCTAACTTTTTTTTCTTCAAGATATACTTTACTAAACTGAACTTCCGTGCAAGGCTAGAAAATCGTAGAAAATATGGAGAAGATGTTTATAAGTTTGCAACTGAAATACCTCGGGAAAGATGGTCACATGCATATGATGATTAGGGTTGATGTTACAGTTATATGACAACAAATCTTGTCAAATGTATCAATTCAATGCTTTAAGGGACTAGACATCTTCCAGTAACAAGTATTATTCGGGATACTTCAAATTGGGTAAAATATGGGCAAACAAAAGTGCCCAAGTAGAGGTAATGACAACAAAGGTAGAAATTGGGCTCCTGATATGGAGAAAGCAATGAACAAAAATCAAACACATGCAACATCAATGTATGTTCATAATTTCGCTAGACTCGATTCTGATTACGTTATCCAAACACTTGTTCGACCATATGAGGGTGGGAATTCTACCACCTAAACTGGTAATCTTGATAGAAGATGGTGTGATTGTGGTTGATTTCAAGCCTTTAGATACCCATGTGTTCACACAGTTGCAACATGTATGCATGTGAATGTAGACCCATACTCATAAGTTGATTATTGTTATAGCCTACATACTAAGCGCAACATATACAGTTGTGACTTTAAACATCTCCCAAATGATGCCACAAACTATTTCTGAATAATGATTGCCCAATCCATAATTACGAAGGAAGTTGAGGGGTCATCATAAATCTAGTCGAAGTCATACTGATATGAATTATCCTCAACTAGAACAAGGTCTGCCAAAACTTTATGGCCATTGTAGAGGTGAAGGCCACAATATGAAGCACTAACCACATCTTTCAAAATATTGACTGGGCCGATAAAACCTTCGTAATTGTATTACCATGTTGTTTGTTGTACATGTTTTGGATAATTTATCAATATCAATAACCATCTTTATTCTTGATAGGTCATTTGCTGCGTCAGTTTGGTAAGTCTTCATTCTTCTTATTCTTATTCTTAAGTTGATCAAGAATTGACTTTATTGATTCTTTTACTCACTCCTCATTTGAAGATGAACTTGAATCTGAATCATCAATGTTAGAGTAATCACACCCAAAATGATCTTTCAAAAAATTTCTGAAATATTCTTCTCATAAATGCATGATTTGGTTCTCATATAGATCTATAAACTCACCTAACTCCTATTTATAGTGAAATTTTTTCAAAATGACCATTGGAACTTGCCACGCCCATATGACGAGTTCCAACGGGTATAAAAAGCTATTTTTCAAATATCTCTAAACGGCTACATATTTAAACCAAAAGAACTCATCACCTCGAGGTGAAGAGTTCAATAATTTTTTCTTCTAATTTTCTATTTAAATTAAATAATTGTAAAAAATAATATTATTCTAATAGAACTTGTCACCTCGAAAAGAAGATTTTCGTAAAAATTAAGTAAATAATAAACACATAATACAATAATAATATCC